CATGGGGCCAGGCAGGTTGGGGGTGCCGGGGGCTGGGGCGTGGGGCCAGGCAGGTTTTGAGATGGGTGCCGTGGGTTGGGGCGTGGGGCCAGGCACTTTGGGGGTGGCTGGGGTGTGGGGCCTGTCAGCTTGGGGGTGCCGAGGGCTGGGGCGTGGGGCCCGGCAAGTTGGGGGTGCTGTGGGTTGGGGCGTGGGGCCAGGCAGGTTGGGGGTGCCGGGGGCTGGGGCGGGGGGCTCGGCAGGTGGGGGATGGGTGCTGGGGTGTGGGGCCAGGCAGGTTTTGAGATGGGTGCCGTGGGTTGGGGCATGGGGCCAGGCAGGTTGCGGGTGCCCGGGGTCCAGCCAGTGACGCTGGCGCGGAAGCTCTCCATAGGGTTCTTTTCATGTCTCTTCAGAAGCTGCCTCTTGTCCGTTTCTCGGGCCGTGGGGAACCCAGCAGGTGTGTCCCTGGGGGACGGGGTGTGGCTGGATAGCAGCCAATGGGTCTGCGGCCTCCACCCCAACAAGGCCAGCTGCAGGCAGCCCATTGGTTCTCCCAGCCCCTGGGTAGGGACCTCGATTGGCAGGGGCCTCCCCGACTCGGCCAGGGCCAGAGCCCAGTCCAGCCCTGCCCCCCGGGCACGCGCCCCATGTCTTAGGGGCAGGAGCGCAGGCAGCAGGGCTGGCCCCATGGGCAGGGGCTCGGGCTGTGTCTCAGCGCCTTTGGGCCGGACCTAGGGCCCCGGGGGTCTCAGGGCTTTGTTGATGGTGCCAGCTCCCAGCCCTGTTCCCCCGAGGGAGCCGCTTTCCACTGGACAGGCCGGTCACAGGAGGGGCCTTGCAGACTCTCATGCCCGGCCACGGTCACGCACGCGGACACACACACCCCCCACTGGCTGCTGTTGCTCTGTCACTTTGCCGCCCTCTCTCTGCCAGGCTCTCTCTGCCTACGGTTTCCTTCACTTCCAAGGCACCAGCCTGGAGGAGATACAGCAGCGGGTCCAGGAGCTCTGGCAGGTAGCTCGCTTGCTCTTGTGCTTGGCATGGCTGGCTGGGCTGGGCACCGGCTTCCTTCTTTCCCCTGCCGGTTCTGCCTGATGGCTCTTCCTCCCTCGCTGGCCCGGGGTGCTGGGGGTCACAGCGTGTGGGCAGCCCAGGCCCCGGGAGCCGCTCTGAGCTCCAGCACAGAGTGCCCCAGCCGTGAGTTCATGGGCACCGCTGCTCCCTGAGGAGGGGGGTGGTTAGGCCCCTGTCCTGGTACCACCCAGCCCAGGCTGTCAGGAGATCCTTGCTGTGCAGTGGGTTAGCCCAGGAGAGCCCGCTGACACCCGCAGCAGAGGCCCGAGTCCCAGCACAAGCAGGATGCAGCTCACCATGCCCAGGCTCCCCCTCTCACTTCCCGGCCCCTCTGAAGGGAGCCACGCTGGGTCCCCTTGTGATGGGATCATAGGGTTGCCAACTTTCTAATCGCACAAAACTGAACACCCTTCTCTGCCCCCTGCTCACTCCATCCCCCCACCCTCACTCACTTTCACCGGGCTGGGGCAGGGGTTTGTGGTGCAGGAGGGGGTGAGGGCTCCGGCTGGGGGTGCAGGCTCTGAGGTGGAGTCGGGGATGAGGGGCTTGGGGTGCAGGAGGCGGTGTGGGGTGTGGGCTCTGTGAGGGAGTTAGGGTGTGGGAGGGGGTTCTGACCTGGGGCAGGGGGTTCAGGGTGCGGTCTCCGGACAGGCGGTGCCTACTTCAGGCGGCTCCTGGAAGCAGACAGAATGTCCAGCTCCTAGGTGGAGGGGCGGCAAGGGGACTCCACGTGCTGCCTGTGCCTGCAGGTGGCACCCCCACAGATCCCATTGGCTGTGGTTCCTGGCCAATGGGAACTGTGGAGCTGGCGCTCAGGGTGGGGGCAGTGCGCGGAGCCCCCTGACTGCTCCTGTGCCTAGGAGCCGGATATGCCGGCCACTTACGGGAGCCGCGTGGAGCCAGGGCAGGCTGGGAGCCTGCCTTAGCCCCACTGTGCCGCCGACCAGACTTTTAGCGGCCCAGTCACCGGTGCTGACTGGAGCCTCCAGGGTCCCTTTTCGACTGGGCATTCCGGTCGAAAACTGGATGCCTGGCAACCCTACAGGATCACCGGGGTACACCCTGGAATTTGGGCAGGGCTGTCCTTAGGCATACGCAGCATACGCAGCTGTGTAGGGCACCATGAAATTTGGGGCACCAAATTGCCCCAAATTTCATGGTGCCCTAGGCAGCTGCGTGCTGCATACGCGGCAGCACCAGCCCCAGCGACCAGCTCTATCCCTCGGCCGGCCCCCCCCTGCAAGGGGCAGGGCCATCCCTGGGGGGTGTGGGGCCCCGGACAACGCCCTCCACCCTGCCTCTTTATCCTTCTCCCCTGCTCCGCCCCGGCCCGCCCCCATTCCACCTTTTCCCCCAGAGACCCCGCACTCACCAGCAGCGGCGGGAAGTGAAGCAACCTGGCCCCAGCCCACTCTACTCCGCCAGCTCCCAGCCACGGCGCTCTGCTTCCCGCTGCCGGTGAATGTGGGGAAAGGATCGCCCCCCGCACGCACCAGCGGCAGGAAGCGGAGAGACGCGGCCCCAGCCCACTCCCTTGTCCAGGCCCCAGCCATGTCTCTCGGGTTGGGGAAAGGACCGGCGGCAGGAAGCAGAGCGCCGCGGCTGAGAGCTGGCAGAGTAGAGTGGGCTGGGGCCAGGCTGCTCTGCGTCCCGCCGCTGCCAGTGAGTGGGGGATCCCTTCCCTCAAGCCCCCTCTCCCAAGCAACACGGCTGGGGCTGGGGTGAGGGAAGCAGAGTGGGCTGCTCCCGGCCCTCTGCTAATCCCTCGGGCCACTCTGGGTCTGTGGGGCCCCCAAAAGTGGCCCCCCACAGCTCCTGCCTCCCAGACCTTGGGGGGGAGGCCTGGGGCCCCACACAGCCCCCCCCATGGGGGGGCTGCGTAGGGCACCCAAATGGCTAGGGATGGCCCATAACTTGGGTACCGCTGTGCCCCCTTTACTCTCCAGCCTGGGCTGTCTCTCTCAATGCTTTGCTAGTGACAAGCAGCAAACCCCTCTGGGCACTGTTATCACTCAGCACAACAGCATGTGGAGCCCCACACCCAGCTCTATTGCATGAATGCTCCCTGAGCCACTCACAAATCACACAGGGAAAGGCACCAGCCAATTCCCTCCAGCTCTCCAGCCTTGCACCCCAGAACTGTACCTGACCAGTATATGTTTATTACCCAATCCACCCCTCCCTTGATGTGGAGAGGACACACACTAGCCTTTGTAAACTGAGCTGAGATTTCCCAAGCACTTGAAGCAAAACACACTGTTTTAGGTAAAATATAAAACAGATTTATTAACTAGAGAAAGATCGATTTTCAGTGATTATAAGTGTTAGGCACAAAAGGTCACAGCTAGTTACCAAAGAAAATAAAAGGTAATCACACAGTCTATATCTGAAACCTTATTACACTAGGCAGTATTTGGATCAAGCAGTTTTGTCACCCCACTGGATCATACAATTCTTAATACACTGGCTTCTCCCTTGAGCCTGGGACCAGTCTCCTCAGTTGAAGTCTTTGTCTTCCCAGCGCTCTTGTTGCTTCCAGCGTAGGTGGGTGTCACGGACTCACAGATCATGCCCACTCTTGGCCCCGTGCGGTTCATGGGGGCAACCCCCTTCAGTGAGACAGCCCTTCTTGGGGGTCCACTCTCCCTCGGGGGTTAAGCCCCTCCACCTCCTGGAGCCGCACTTCTCTGAGCCTTAGCATACCTGTCTCTCGCCGTGGGCCCCCTCAGGGAGTCCACTCGCTCTGAACCTCCGGGGCCTCCACTTCCAGAGGGAATAATGCCACCCTGTTCTCTAGACCGGAGTGACTCTCAGCCAGCGTAAAACAGGAGGGTTTATTGAGCGTCTGAACACAGCACAGGAAACTCTCAGGGCCCTCAGGCCTGGCCTCCCTCAGCACAGCACATCCAAGTCTCCCCTGCATCCAGGGGGGCTCTGCCTGCTCTCTCTCTCTAGTCCCGAGCCCCCCTGCTTCCCAGCTGGGCATCTGAGATCACCGGCCCCAAGCCCCGCCTCTGTCCATTGTCTTCTATCCAGGTAAACAGGGTCGCCTGGGCCTCCTCTCCTCTCTTCTGTCCTCTGGCTGGAACCGGCTGGTCAGGTCACCAGGGCCCTCTCTTTACAGACCATTGTCCTCCCACTGGCCAGAACCGGCTGTGACTCCTGAGCTGGACCTCCGGGTCGCCAGGTCACCAGTCACTGGGGTATCCATTCTCCAGGCCATTGGCTGGAGCCCCAAGTTAATTTTAATTAATGGAGATATCCCATCTCCTAGAACTGGAAGGGACCTTGAAAGGTCATCGAGTCCAGCCCCCTGCCTTCACTAGCAGGACCAATTTTGATTTTGCCCCAGATCCCTAAGTGGCCCCCTCAAGGATTGAACTCACAACCCTGGGTTTAGCAGGCCAATGCTCAAACCACTGAGCTATTCTCCCCACCCCGAGCTATCTTCCCCCCGGTCCTCGCCGGTCCTCTGTAACAACAAACTCCCTCTCCCATCACCTCATTAAACTAGTAACACTCAGGGAAACTGAGTCCCACCCCCTCTGCATGCAAACCATTGAAAAAACGGGAAAAAACAAGAAAACCCCCCACTTCGTCACATCTCTCCCCCCTTCGAGTCTGAACTGAGCTGGGTCACATAGCCAGTGACCTGGGGAAGTTCAGGGCCCCCGCCCCGTGATAAAGCATCGACTATAACATTGGCGCTCCCCCTCACATGGACCACCTCCGTGTCATACCCCTGGAGGAGAAGGCTCCATTTCAGCAGCTTGGCATTAGCTCCTTTTATTTGGTGCAGCCACGTCAGGGCCGAATGGTCGGTGTACATGGTGAAGCGCCGCCCAAATAGATACGGCTGCAGTTTTTTAAGGGCCCACAGCAGGGCCAGGCATTCCTTCTCTATGGCCGCATAGTGCTGCTCCCGGGGCAGCAGCTTCTTGCTCAGGTACACAATGGGGTGTCTCTCCCCCTTGGTATCAGTGTGCATCAGTACCGCCCCCAGCCCTGTGTCCGAGGTGTCGGTGAATACCAGGAAGGGTTTGTTAAAATCCGGGTTTACCAGCACCGGGCTTTGGATAAGTGCCCCCTTCAGCGCACAGAGAGCCCTCTGGCACTGCTCGGTCCAGACCACCTTGTCCGGCTTTCCCTTCCTACACAGCTCCGTGAGGGGAGCTGCCAGGGAGCTAAAGTGGGGGACAAACATCCGGTAGTACCCTGCCATCCTAATGAAAGCCTGGACCTGCTTCTTAGTCTGGGGAGCGGGCCAGTCCTTGATGGCCTCCACTTTGGCCGGGTCCGGCTTCAGGTGGCCGCTTCCCACCTTGTGGCCCAAGTATGACACCTCTGCCATCCCCACCTTGCACTTTTCAGCTTTTATGGTCAGTCCTGCATCCTGGAGGCGACCCAGCACCCTCTT